TTGTTTTACTCTTGTTGCATGGTCTTACTATTCGCTAAATCTTTTAGGAATGCTACTATACTTTTTTGAGAAACATTATACTTTGTTTTATTCAGAAATTTACTGAGATTTTTAATAACAATTTTAAATAGTCATGTCACTAATGGCAACACCGCTTGTGACATTTGACTTCTTAATGTCCATAATTGTAGAAGCCTCCATTTGTAGATAATAAATTTCATTTATTCTACACACATACTTGTATATGCATATACATACGTATGCATATAATAGACTTTATTTCAAATGTCAAATATAAATAAATTATGTCAACAAAACAGTCGAATATTGTCATCTTATAAATTTAAATTTATTCATTTTAAGTAGTTGGAAGCATAAACATTTAATTATTCATGCCTTCTATTGTAGTTGTGTTTGTTCATTTAATATATTGAAATACAATGGTCATTATGTCTATTTTAGGTATAATGTATATAAATGTGTCATTATATATAACTTGCATTTCAGAAATAGTAGAGAAGTTTTTGTAAATATTTTCTTTCTGTGTATAGAGAGCACTGAGTTTGACAGAGGTAAGAACCACTAACTGTATCCCTCCTGCTTAGTGTGTATTTTGAGAATTGGAGCAAGAGACAGGAAGAAGAGAGCAACAAGGGTAATTGTACCTTAACTCATTTGAGCTTTTGTAAAGAGCATGGTCTCATGGTTCTGTTTTCTCCTCCCCAGCACTACCTTTTCCAGATTCTGTGCTTCTCTCAGATAGGAATCCAGAAGAGGATTGATCATTTCTTTTAACTCTAAAAACCATGGCTCAGGTAAATTGGTGTTTCCTCATACCCTCTTTAAGTAGTTGCTTTTTTACAGAGTATGTGCAGGTTTGCATTTCGTATTCCTGAAACTTCCTCCTAACTGACTCCACTCAGGAATGTGCTCCCCAGTTTATGCCATTCTTACAAGTGATAATGTCTTCCCTAAGTATGTCTTCCTAATCTAACCTATAGTCACATACTTATTCAAAAATCCATTGAGCATCTTTGACTAGGGGCACTGATACAACAACAACAGATTTCCTGATTTTAGAAGATAGGAAAGGATGTTAAATGGCACCACACATGAGAAAACTTTGAACTTCTCTTTAGATTTAAGTTTCCTGGTTAGGCAAGATAGGAGTTGGGCTTGACTGTGCCCAGTCTTCATACATGGCAAGAGCCCATGCTTTGTGAGATTTTAAGATTAGGAACAGGATTGGGGATTGAATACAGAGAGATCAGGGATGTTCCCTGGGAATCCATAATTGATACCAGTAATATGGATCATTTTGAGATTCAATATTATGTGCTAATCTTGAATGTGTAAGTTTGGGTTATCTTTTCCATCTTTCTGTTGATTAGAATAAAAAAAAGATATGTTAATAAGTGATTAATAGTAACAAAAAAGATTCACATGCAAAAGCTGTTGAGAATTATAAACTTCCCAAAACAAAACTGCTTATGAGATTTTTATATAACCTAAAATGTACTTACTAAATTATTGGTGGCAGGAAAATGTTTATGACATTTTATTCTGATATAATGACAAACCTTGAAGTTTCAATAAATTATTTAATGTTATGTGGATCTTATTTTATATGATAGATTTAAGATTTTACTGAAATATTTAACCAATTATTTTTCTTAATTTCTTAAATATAATAGAAAATAAGAAAGAGGAACTTGCATTTATTGAGAATGTATGACGTACAAGATAGATATTGCATAGGGTGCTTCTGTATGCTGGTTTTTTTAATAGGGACTTTGCATTTTTAGATTAATTTGATTTAATTTACTAATTCCCAGAGTTATGTTTGTAATGAGATGTTCTATATGCAGGAAATTTCTACAGCAACAGGAATAAAAAGGAATATGTCGGCACTTCAGAAGCACTAATTTCTGTAGTGTTCATCTATGTCAAGAGGCTGCATAGCTTATTTGCTGTGTCGCCTACTTTGTGGAGAGCTCTCCATCATCTCCCCTTCCACTGAAAAAACAGTTTCTTTTCTTTATTTCCACTACTAGTATTATGTTTGTTGTTTCAGAGAATGGTGATGTTTAGAGATATTGCCATTGACTTCTCTCAAGAAGAGTGGGAATGCCTGGACTTTGCTCAAAGGGATTTGTACAGAGATGTGATGTTGGAGAACTATAGTAACTTGGTGTCACTAGGTAAGGATATCTACCCCTAGTATTTCTGGATCTACTTTTGGAATGACTACCTTATTTGATGTTATTTCAAGGTTGTGTTTAAGTAATTAACTGAATTTCTTCTAATTCTCAAAGGAATGGTTTTAAATTATTGGAAGTAGACATAGATAATTTCATAGGGCACATTTATCTTTTTTTTACTTTTTAATATATTTTTATTATTTTATATATTGTATATTTAATTATACAATAGTTGACATTCAATATTATCCTACATCAGCTTCAGGTGTACAGCACAGTGGTCAGGCATCTACACAATCTATGAAGTGATTCCCCAAATAAGTCCAGTACCCACCTGACACCCTACATAATCTTTACAACATTATTGATTATAATCACTATCCTGTATTTCACACCTCTGTGACTGCTTTATGATACTAATTTGTACTTTCTAATTCCTTTGCCTTCTCCCTCATCCACATCACCAACCCCCCTGCTGTCTAGCAACCATCATCAGTTTTTTCTCTGTATTTCTTAATCTGTTTCTGTTTTGTTTGCTTGTTTATTCCATTCTTTAGATTCCACATATAAGTGAAATCATATAGTATTTGTCTTTATCTCAGTCTGACTTATTTCACTTAGCATAATATTTTCTAGGTTCATCATGTTGTTGCATATGGTAAGATTTCATTCTTTTTTATGGCAAAGTAATACTCCATTGTATAAATGTACCACAATTTCTTGATGCAGTTGTCTATTGATGGGCATTTCGGTTGTTTCCATTTCTTGGCTATTGTGAATAGCACCTCAGTAAACACAGGGGTGCATATATTTTTTCGAATTAGTGGTTTTTTTATTTCTTTAGATAAATACCCAGCAGTGGAATTGCTGGGTCATAAGGTAGTTCTATTTTTAATTTTTTGAGGAACCTCTATACTGTTTTCCATAGTGGCTGCACCAATCTGCAATCCCACCAACAGTGCACAAGGGTCCCCTTTTCTCCACATCGTTGCCAACACTTGTAGTTTGTTGATTTATGGATGATAGCCATTCTGACAGAAGTGAAGTGGTATCTCATTGTGGTTTTTATTTGTATTTCTCTGATGATTTGTGACGTTGAACATCTTTTCATATGTCTCTTGATCATCTGTATGTTCTCTTTGGAGAAATGTCTCTCATGTCCTCTGCCCATTTTTTAATTGTGTTGATTGTTTTTTTCAGTGTTGAGTTGTATGAGTTTTTGATAAATTTTGGATATTAACCCCTTATCAGATGTATCATTGGCAAATATCTTCTCCCATTCAGTAGGATGTCTTTGTTTTGTTGATGGTTTCCTTTGCTGTAAAAGAACTTTTTAGTTTGATGTAGTCCCATTTGTTTATTTTTTTATTTTCTTTCCCTTGCCTGAGGGGATATAGCAGTAAAAATAATTCTAAGGGTAATGTCTGAGAGTTTATTTCCTATGTTTTCTTCTAGGAGTTTTATGGTTTCGGGTCTTACAGTTTAGTCTTTAACCCATTTAGAGTTTATTCTTGTATATGGCGTAAGAAGGAGCTCCAGTTTTATTTGTTTGCATGTATCTGTCCAGATTCCCTAGCACCATTTATTAAATATATTGTATTTTCCCCATTGTATATTCTTGCTTTCTTTGTCATAGATTAAATGACCATGTGGGCGTGGATTTATTTTTGGGCTCTCTATTCTTTTCCATTGATCTGTGTATCTGTTTTTATGCCAATACCATGCTGTTTGGGTTACAGTAGCCTTGTAGTATAATTTGATATCAGGCAGTGTGATAACTCCTGCTTTGTTCTTATGTATCAGGACTGCCGTGGCTACTCAAGGTCTTTTATGGTTTCATATAAATTTTAGGATTATTTGTTCTACTTCTGTGAAAAATGTCATTTGTATTAATATTTTGATAGGGATTGCATTGAATCTATGTATTGCTTTGGGTAGTATGGACATTTTAATTATATTAATTCTTCCTATCCATGAGCATGGTATATGTTTCCATTTATTTATATCTTTTTTAATTTCACTCTTCAGTGTCTTATAATTTTCAGTAGAGGTCTTTACTTCCTTGGTTAAATTTATTCCTAAGTATTTTTTTTATGCAATTGTAAATTGGACTGTTTTCTTAATTTCTCTTTCTGATAGTTTATTATTGGTGTATGAAAATGCAACCAATTTCTGAATATTAATTTTCTATCCTCCTACTTTACTAAATTCATTTATTAGTTTTAATAGTTTTTGGGTGGAATCTTTGGGATTCTATACATATAATATTATGTCATCTGTAAATAATGACAATTTTACTTCCTCCTCTCCAATTTGTGTGCCTTTTATTTCTTTTTCTTGTCTGATTTCTGTAGCTAGAACTTCCAGTACTATGTTGAATAAAAGTGGTGAAAGTGGGCACCCTTGTCTTGTTCCTGATTTTAAGGGGAATGCTTTTAGCTTTTACCCATTGAATATGATGTTAGCTGTGGGTTTGTCATATATAGCCTTTATTATGTTCAGATATGTTCCCTGTATTTTCACTTTGCTGAGAGTTTTTATCATAAATGGGTGCTGGATTTTGTCAAATGCTTTTTTTGCCTCCATTGATTTGACCATATGATTTTTATTTTTCATTTTTTTATGTGGTATATCATGTTAACTGATATGCAGATATTGAACCAACCTTGCATACCAGGAATGAATCCCACTTGATCGTGGTGTGTGTTCTTTTTAATATATTGCTGAATTTGGTTTCTAATACTTTGTTGAGGATTTTTGCATCTATGGTCATTAGGGATATTGGCCTATACTTTTCTTTTTTTATAATGTCTTTGTCTGGTTTTGGGATCAGGGTAATGGTGGCCTTGTAAAATGAACTTGGGAGCCTTTCCTCCTTCTAGATTTTTTGGAATAGTTTGAGGAGAATGGGTGTTAATTCTTTTTTGAATGTTTGGTAAAATTCACCTGTGAAGCCATCTAGTCTAGGACTTTTGTTTGTTGGAAGCTTATTGATTATTGATTTAATTTTTTTGGTAGTAATTAGTCTGTTCAGATTTTCTGTTTCTTCCTGATTCAGCCTTGGAAAATTGTACACTTCTAGGGATTTATCCATTTCTTCCAGATTGTCTAATTTACTGGCGTATAGTTGCTCATAGTATTTTCTTAAAGTTTATGTATTTCTGTAGTTGCTTCTCTTTTATTTATGACTTTATTTGGGCCCTCTCTCTTTTGATCTTTTTCTTTTTTTTTAAATTTAGTTTTAGGTGTACAACACAGTGCAATACTTATACTTTTTAGCCCTCAAAGTGACAGCCCTCCTCCCCCAATCTGACACCCCACTCTCCCCCCCCCATATCATACGTATCTATTATAATTCCATTGATTCAACTCCTACACTATACTCCACATCCCGTGACAATATATATGTTAAATTATAGTTGACATTCAATATTATACAACATCAGCTTCAGGTGTACAGTGCAGTGATCAAACGTCTACCCCATCCATGAAGTGGTCTCCATAACAAGACATGTGACCATCTGACACCCTACAAAATATTTACCACATTATTAATTATATTCCCCAAACTGTCTTTCATATCCCTGTGGCAATATTGTAGTTACCTATTTATGCTGTCTAATCCCTTCCCCTTTTTTGTTGTTGTTGTTCCAGTTGGGTGATTTCTGCTATTTTGTCTTCTAAATCGCAGATCCGATCCTCTGCTTCATCTAATCTGGTGATTCCTTCGAGTGTGTTCTTCATTTCAGTTATTGTATTTGTTAGTTCTAACTGGTTGGTTTTTATGATTTCTCTATCCTTTTTTATGTCCTCACTAAGTTCCCTAAACATTCTTATCATCAGTGTTCTAAACTCTGTCTCTGAAATTTGGATATCTGTTTTATTTAGTTCCATTTCTAGAGGTTTCTTCTGATCTTTTACTTGGGACATGTTTCTTTGTTTCTTTATTCTGGCTGTCACTCTGTGATTGTTTTGATGTATTAAATAGATCACCAATGCCTGTCAGTCGTTGCTGGGTGCTCTTGTAGTATGTGTCCTTTATATTCGAATTGCACAGTCGCTGTAGTCTTCTGTCCCATATGTTCCAGAGGTGTGGCTGCTGAAGTTGCTCTTTAATTGCTTTTGGCTTGTCAGAGGGTCGGATTGACCCTCAAACTGATTAGCTGGGAGGATTAGCTCTGTTCACAGTGTATAAGATGCTGTGTGGAGGTTGACACCCTCAGAGGAGGCTTGGCCACTGTGGGCTCTTGTGCCTGTGGAGAATGTCCTTTGAGAGTGCCACTTGTAGTTTCAACTAGGTAGTACTCTGGTTTTGTCTAACACTGGGCCCTGGGTGTATTGTGCTGGTGTCTCTTGGGCAGGACTCCCACTCAGAGCCATTTCAGACCTACCAGTCTGTAGCTACCTGGTAGGTGTCTCAAGGCTGTGCACAGTTGGTTGCTGCCCGTGCTGGACCTGGGGTCATGTGGGGATGGTCTCTGTGTGAACTGATGCTGGCTGCCCCCTATATTGGTCCTGACGCAGTTTAGGAAAAGGCCCAGGGTCTCCTAGACCTATTGCCACCTGTCAGATGCCGGTAAGGCCCACCTATTGAAAGAGGGTTTTTAGGGGCATGTGTCTGACTATTTGACCCGGTGTTGAGGGTGCCTCTCCGATGTGGCACTAGCTTGGCAGGATGGAATTCAAGTGAGTTATGTGACGTGATTGGTAGTTTTTAAGACATTAATGCAGATTCAGGTCTTATACCAATACCTGGCCTGTGACCCCCTTGTATAGCATCCAAAGGGCACTGCAGCCAGCCTCCACCTCACGCCCTCAGATTTACAAAAGCTGCTTCCGAGCAGCTGTGGTGCAGGTTTGTGGTCACTGAATACCACGAAGATGACCCCAGGGCTCTGAAGACCACCTTCTGTTGTAAAAAACATTTTCCACAGTTCGTGGGGGTGGAGCCAGTCACCCCAGCACCCCGATTGCCCCTGGCAAGGTAGTTGTAGGTGAGT